GAACCACGCCGTCCGCCTCGAGGCGGAACACCTTCCCAGAGAACAGAATGCGTTGGCCGATCAACTCAGCGGGTCCTTTTCCTTTCATCCCGAGTGGTCCCTTCACCCAGAGGTAGTCAATGCTATCTTCCAGAAGTGGGGGACTCTCCAGGTGGACCTGTTTGCCACCAGACAGAACAGGAAATGCCTCAGGTTCTGCTCAGAGCACAGGCTCAGTGAGGGCTCTCTGTCAGACGCCTTCCTGCCCTCGTGGGTGGGCAGGCTGCTGTTTGCCTTTTCACCGATCCCCGTGGGGTTCACAAGGTCCTCCTAAAAGAGGGACAAGGCGAAGGTTATCTTGATAGCTCCGGCATAGCCACACCAGCTTTGGTTCGGCACACTTCTGGACCTCTTGGTGGCAACTCTGTTAGAGCTCCCATGACATCCGGACTTGATTTCACAGGACCAAGACCAGTTGCTTCACGCAAACCTCGCCTCCTTACACCTGATGGTGTGGCTTCTGTGTGGCTAAACTCCGAGGAGCAGGCCTGCTTGAAGCAGGTCCAGCAAGTCTTGCTAAGTAGCAGAAAACACTCCACCAGGGCTACCTACTTGACTGAGGGGAAACGTTTCACTTGTGGGCCTGTGAGTGGAATCTTTCTCCATCTCAGCCCTCGCTGCAGTTCCTCTTGGAGTATTTGATCCACCTGAAGCACCAGAGTCTAACTGTCTTCAATCAACGTTCACTTGGCAGCCATCTCAGCTTTCCATCCTCTGGTCCGGGGCAGATCAGTCTTCTCCCATGAGCTGATGATCAGGTTCCTCAAGGGCTTAGAAAGGTCTACACACAGGTTTGTGCCCTGATTCCCCTATGGGACTTAAACCTGGCCCTCTCAAGGCTCACGGGTCTCCTCTTTGAGCCGTTAGCTTCTTGTTCTTTCCTACTCTTCTTGTGGAAGGTGCCTTCCTAGTGGTGGTTACCTCGGCCAGAAAGGTCTCTGAAATAAAAGCTTTGACTTCAGAACCCCCGTATACAGTGTTCTTCAAAGACAAGGTCCAGCTGCGCCCCCATCTTGCCTTCCTTCTAAAGATGGTGTTGCAGTTCGTAACAACCAGGACATTTTTCTGCCTGTTTTATTTCCGAAGCCTCACAGCACCGCTGTGGAATGTCGACTACATACGTTAAATGTTAGATGGGCCTTAGCCTTCTATATTGAAAGAACTAAGCCTTTCTGCAAGTCTACACAGTTTTCATGGCCGTGGTGAACAGGATGAAAGGTCTACTGGTGTCATCCCAAAGAATCTTGTCCTGGATAACCGCCTGCATCTGAGCTTGCTATGAGCTGGTGAACGTTCCACCACTGGCTATCATGACAGCTCATTCTACAAGAGTCCAGTCTTCATCAGCAGCATTCCTCACACAGATACCAATCCAGGATATCTACAGGGCCGCAATATGGTCATCAATTCAGACCTTCGCATCCCACTATGCCATCACCCAACAGGCCCGTGACGATGCTAGTTTTGGGAGAGCAGTGTTGTGATCGGCACATACATGAACTTGGAGCCCACCTCCGGGGATACTGCTTGTGAGTCACCTAGCATGGACTGGACATGAATAGGCACTCGAAGAAGAAAAAATGGTTCCTAATCTTTCGTAACAGTTGTTCTTCGAGAAGCGTTGCTCATGTCCATTCCCTGACCCACTCTCCTACCCTCTGTTGGCATTACCTGCAAGAAGGAACTGAGAGAGTGCGGAACCGGTATAAGGGGTGCCTCCGGCTCATGTTCACAAGGCTCCAGGGGGTGCTAGAGCTGGCCCTAAGGATACCACTAAGGGAAAAATCTCCTGCAACTCTGCATGTAGCGTGCACATACCTAGCCTGGACTGGACATGAGCAACACATCTTGAAGAACAACAGTTACGAAAAGTTAGTAACCATTTTTTTCTTTATTAAAGTGCCCTATAACATCAAAATGTTGTCCAGTCCATTCAGGTTAGGTGCCTTTTCTGCCAAGCTACATCTATCTGATTGGGTCAGAGTGGGGAAGAGAGACCTACTAAGAAAAAGGTATGGTGGTTACCACCAAATCAAACTGAGGCCTAGGTCTTGCAACAAGCAGGGCTTTAGTGTTCTGGTTTCTTGAGGATCTAATAGAGAAATTCAAAGCAGCTGAATCCCACTGTAGGTGTGTGTACCCCATGTGTGCAAGCCCAGAATCTTTTATCCAGCTGTATTCATTGGGGCTGCTCATGCATCCTGTACTCCCTCATGCCCCTCCCAAGGATATAAAGAGTGGAGCAGCCGCAGCTGCCACTCAATTCCTTCTTGCTGCTAATGGCAGCAAGACAGAGCTACATCGTGTCCTTTTGCCTCCCTGTAGTTTCTTAGGTTGTTTAGGATAGTTACTTAGTGAGTTAACTACTGTGCTTTGTAGCCTATAAATTTTTATTTAGTGCCCATTGGCCCCCCCCAAAAAAGGCAAAATGTATTTTTTTGTTCGATTGGTACTTGGTATTGAGGTGCAAGTCTGATGGCTGACACTGTCTTTGGGCTTTAAAATCTGCACTGCCTGTGAATCACCTGTGCCTGCAAATAATGGACGTACTAAGTGCCTTTTTTTTTTTTTTTTGTTTAGGGGAACTATTACGGACAAATGTTCAGTTTGCAAATCTTTTTCTACGTGCATGCAGGGAGCTATAGATACCCTTTGAAAAATGTTTCTGATGGAAAGGTCAGTGAGGAGTTTTCCCAAATTTGAAGTCCCTCATCAAAATCAATCTGCTGTTTTAAAGCTGGTTTCTGGTAGTGCTTCAGCTACCAGCAATGCTACTCATATTGGATAGCATGCCTACTGCTCTAAGAGACCTCATGCTTCTCAAAAACATGCTGAGCCTTCTCTTCAGTCCTCTTCAGGTCAGTCAGTCTGACTCCTCCTGCTCAAGATAGGAAGGAGCAGAGATCTTCAGATGGTGTTTGGCACTGGTCACTGTCCTTGGCACCAGCTAAGAAGAGGTCTAAGACTCATTGCTCTGATGTCTCCAAGCTCGTTCCTTCCAAATCTGATCAGCACCGTGAGTCTTCAGGGACTAGGAAAGGCCTTCTTCCACTTGGTACTGTGTTGACAGTTCTCAGTGACCAGTACTACTTCTTCGGTACTGATACCACTGGTGCTGTCTGCCACAGATTCTTCAGTACCACACCTTAATAAAAAGATCCCAATTTACTGAGACATCCACACTGGTACCATGGAGCTCAGTCTACCTTGGTACTGATTCCTCTCTCAATGCATGCTGCCTTTACAACCTCTAGGAACATAGTGATCACTCCAATACCAGAATCTCCTGTCTTTGATATTCTCTAATATCTACTGGATTCAGGTCCCTTCTGGTATGGGAACCAAAGGTATTGATTATGAAAGAATCTCCCTGAGACAGTTATCTGTGGTACCAATATCTATTTTTCAATAACTAGAGTCTAGATCTCCACAGTCTGTTACAACCCCTCAGATAGTATGTACCATTCTGGATGGAGTTCTGCTAGTCTGTATCTTCATTTTATGACAGTAGAAGTACTTCTTGTAGATTTTCTCCTCATTCTCCTAGACTGGTTCCTGAAAGAGACCTAAGAAGGAGTCCTTCTTGTCATAGATCCCATACTTCTGACAGGTTTCAGGCACCTTACATCCTGTGGCATTATCTGCCTTTCCTGTATGGAATGCAGTCTTGGAATGCAGGTCAGTATGGAATCCTCAACGTTTTCCTGCTTATTCATCTAGATTCATGTCTGAGAATAGATCACCTCTTTCTAAAGAACCATCTAAGGTAACTCTCTGACCGGAGCTCGTCCAGGAAGTTGAACAGGAACCTCACGGAGGACAATGAGGGACCAATGCATTCCTTTGGCTAGTTTATTTTCGTCACCAAATAAGGCTATAGCACCATCTGCTCCTTCCACAGCCTAACTTCAAGGCAAGTCAGGACCTCCTTTAAAATGATGGTGGAAACCTTAGATATAATCCTCAAAGTCATTCAGGAAAGTTCTCTCAAATTATTTGATATTCTGCATCCAGTCTCTCAAGTCTGTTTGGCCATGCCAATCGGTGAGAGTATCCTTGAGCCAGCTGAAGAGTTGTGGCATGCCCCATGCTTATTTTTACTTGTGATTTGTGTCAAGCTCCATTAGGATGGAAACTGGAGTTGAATTACGATGCCCCAAACAGCATTTTAAAATTATCTTTGGTTAAGTAAAGCTACCTTTAAATGTGCTGCATACTTTTTAAAATGTAACTTTATCAAAATATATTCTGCATTTAAACCTGATTTGATAAACAAAGGAAGTATTATCTGTAGTTAGTTAATTGAACTGATTGTTTCTGGTTACCATTTCCTTTAGATTTTAGAAACCATAGCTCTCGTCCTTTCTCACCTAGTTTTTATGCATAGACTGGAAAGGAAAGCAAGTTTTCCTGCCTTTTTTCTTTTCTTAAATTCTGAATCCATTTCTCAACTTTCAGTGAAGTAGTCATTTAACGAACAAGTTGAATAAACTGAAATAAAGAAAATATTCTCTCTGCAGCTGTGTAAGTGGCTTCTGTTATCAAAATCTGGTTAACACTTCAACAAATGCACTTCCAGGTGCTTAGCACAGTGAATTCCACCAGTTCAGTGGTTTGACTTTCCTTAAAATTTCAGCATAAACATGTGCTGCTTGAATATTATTTAGTTAATTAATTTTGATAGATTATACTAAGTTTAGGCCTTAACATAAGTTGTCACAATTTCAAATTTAATTTTAAATAGGTTTATTTTTAAAAAGAAAAATCTGATTTAAATAACACATCTGATTTTTAAAAAAAACCATAGTTATGGATTTGCAGAAACAAAGTTTTCAGAAAGAAAAAATATTACCTCTTTTAAAAAACAAACAAACTTCCTTTTTTTCAAAAGAGGTGCCCTTTATTGTTCACCTACATAAACTCTTCACATTTTAAAACTGTTCACTCTCTTTTCAATTTAGGTAAACGGCAAGAAACAAAAAATGGACACTCAGTTATTCTCCCCATTGTTAGGAGGGATCACAAGTACACCACCACCCCTGGAATCATCCCGGTTATATAGTAATTGGTCTGTATGTGGAGATGATACCAACACAGCAACTTCTTTACAAGACTGCACCAAAAAAAGGTACTAAATAAGTATAATCTTATGCTGTTCGCTGTTTTCTGTAAGACTGAAAGTTTAATTGGGTAGGAGTGTTTGAGTATTGAAAGGAAGAAGTTATGGGATAACTACAGAAACTCATGGCCAATAAATTACCTGCATTGAGTAGTATTTATCAAATAACTTTGGAAATCATGGTTATACCTTTTTTAATATGTGACCGAAGATTTCCTTATTAGGGAACGTAATGGGAAAGTCAAGTATCAGACAAATCTTGATCTTTGTATAATAACAAATATTTACCTTTTGAAAAAGCTTCCTTGTTACATCACGTCATTATGGCTCTTTTTGGTGACAGAGGGAGCTGTTTTCTGTAACAGCAGGGGTACAGTGAATGCCAGTTTCTTCCTCTTGTTACTGAACAGTACAAATGGATGAAGGTTAGGGGACATATGTGTGTGGAACTTCTCCACCACCCGTATCATAAGCATGCACATGCCAGCTTTCTGGGATTTATAGTCTTAACCAGGGGTATGCAGAGGTCTTCCAGGGGGTACATTAACTCACCTAGATATTTGCCTAGATTTACAACAGGCTACATAAAAAGCACTAGCAAAGTCCATACAAACTAAAATTTCATACAGAAAAAATTAGAAAGTAAGCAGTTTTTCAGTAATAGTATGCTGTGACACTTCTGTATTTTTATGTCCGATTTTGTAAGCAAGTAGTTTTTAAGTGAGGTGAAACTTGGGGTACATGACAAATCAGACCCCTGAAAGGGGTACAGTAGTCAGGAAAGGTTGAAAACCACTAGTCTAGTCTAGTCTCTCTCTCCCTCTGTTTACATAACTCACCAGAGATGCCTGTGCAGCCCTGAGGGCCCTCACTACTTGCATCACAGATTTAGCGCTGCTAGATGATTTTGTTACATTGTAACTAAAATTTACTAGCTCAACCAGTGGTGTAGGATAGCTATTGAGCAACTTTTTATTAGTGGCAGAAGAGATCTGAAATACGGGATGTTCCAGTCTCAACATGGTTTACTTGATCCACTTACTCTCCCATCAAGGTGGGCAGCCTATATTAAGTATTGATAGACAGGAATCATGTTAGCTATTAAATTAAAGTTTTTAATGGACGCCACAGTCTGCACTCTGGTCCCTCTCTCCTAGGCCTGGGCTACTTTTCCCATCTAATCTTTCCTACCCTAGTCATTCAGTAGGCTTATGAAACTGTTGCTGCAGCTGCCTGCTGTTAGGCTAGTCTGGCTCTGTATTACCCCTTCTTTTGTCTACTTCTATTTTCTTTCATATTCCTATTACCCTGTTCTGTTTCCTTTCCCCTTATATACCGGACATTTAAATGAGTGCACTCATGCTATCTCACATTTATCTTAGTCATCTTAAGATAAATATGTGCATCTGTTGAAGTATTTAGTGTATCTTTATGGTAGCTTTAGAAATATATAGGCAGCTGTTAACAATTAGAGAAGTTATATAAATGCAGACCTCTCTCTCCCTCCCCCTGTGCTCTTTCCATCTCTATTCCCGGTGAGGTCTATGGCATGCATTCTTACATCAGGGTTGTATTATGCTAACTACCACAGTAATTTGTTGGCCCTTGATACCCATGATGACATCATCTGCATTTTCAATATAAGTATCTCATTTTAGTATTTGTAACTCACTACATCAGAAATAGGAAGCCTAAGAAAGAATAGGTGCTGTGATGGGTTCCCCCCGGGGTGCCATCTGGAACTGGGGTCCCACTAAGTACCCACAAGCCTAGGCTCCCTCTCACACTGTGCTGCTGTGGCAAGCTGCAGACCCACTCCCACACTTCCACCAGCATTTCACCCAGGTAGGGACACGCCCAGTTGCAGTTACACGCAGGCTCTCTAACCACCAGCTTCCCAGCCTGGGACACCAGAGCAGTACCGTCCTGCCATGGTCAAATCTGGCCAGTATATGGGTTTAATACCCGGTCCACCTCTCCCTCAATGTGAAGAGAACAATGCACACTTGTGGTAACCAAGCAGAGATTTTCCCCAAGCACTCCAGTCAAAGCTCACCGGTTTAGATTAAAACATAAACAAGTTTAACTGCAAAAGATAGATTATAAATGCTAGCAAACAGATTAAAGCAGATTACCTAGCAAATAACTAAAAAACGCAAACTAACCTTAATATACTAAATAGATTGGATATGAATTAGCAGATTCTCACCCGGAGAAATGATACAAGCAAGCTGCAGATTCTTAAGGGGCAAGCAGCATTTGCTTTACAGCTTGGAATTCCCAGGTCTTTTATTAACAGGCTAGAAATCCCTTTAGCCTGGGTCCAGCACTTCCCCCAGTTCAGTCTTTGTTCCTCAGGTGTTTCCAAGAATCTTCTTGTATGGGGAGTGAAGAACTCCAGATGATGTCACTCACTGGATTAAAGGGAGAGATTAAGGAAGATAAAGGCATTGCTGAGAAGCTAAATGATTTTTTTAAAATCAGTCTTCACTGGTGAGAATATTGGGAAGAATGACAGAAATGTAGGACTGAAAGGGACCTCAATAGGTCATCTTGTCCAGTCCCCTGCACTAAAGGCAGGACTACATAACAGACCATTCCTGACAGGTGTTTGTCTAACCTGTTCTTAAAAACCTCCACAACCTCTCTAGGCAATTTGTTCCAATGCTTAACCACCCTGACAGGAAGTTTTTCCTAATGTCCGACCTAAACCTCCCTTGCTACAATTTAAGCCCATTGCTTCTTGTCCTATCCGCAGAGGTTCACAAGAACAATTTTTCACCCTCCTCCTTGTAACAACCTTTTTTCAAAAACAGTTATGTCCCCCCTCTGTTTTCTCTTCTTCAAACTAAACCCATTTTTTTCAATCTTCCCTCATATGCATGTTTGCTAAACCTTTGCTCTTCTCTGGACTTTCTCCAATTTGTCCATATCTTTCCTGAAATGTGGCACCCAGACCTGGACAGAGTACTCCAGTTGAGGCCATTATTAGCAGGGAGTAGAGTAGAAGAATTACTTCTTGTGTCTCGCTTACAACAGTTGATCACCACCCTCTTTATAACAGCCCTCAATGTTTTTGAAGACTATTATTAGACCTTCCTGTCAGTCTTCTTTTCTTGAGACTAAACATGCCCAGTTTTTTTAACCTTTCCTCGTATATCAGGTTTTCTAAACTTCTTATTGTTTTTGTTGCTCTCCTCTGTACTCTCTCCAATTTGTCCACATCTTTCTTAAAGTGTGGTGCCCTAACCTGGAGACAGTACTCCACCTGGGGCCTCACCAATGCTGAGTAGAGTGGGACAATTACCTACTATGTCTTTTATACTACCCCAGAATATTAGCCTTTTTAGCAACTGCATCATGTTGTTGTCTCATATTCAATTTGTGGTCCTTTGTAACCCCTTGATCCTTTTCAGCTGTACTACTGCATAGCCAGTGATTCCCCATTTTGTAGGTGTTATTGCTCTTTTTTTATTCTCAAGTATAGTAATTTGCACATGTCTTTATTGGATTTCATCTTTCTGATTCCAGACCAATTCTTCAATTTGTCAGTATTTTGAATTCTAATCCTGCCCTCCAAAGTGTTAGCAATCCCTCCCATCTTGGTGGCATCTTCAGATTTTATAAGCATACTCTTCACTCTACTATCCAAGTCATTAGTGAAAATATTGAGTAGCAGCAGACCCAGGACAAAGCTCTGTAGGCACTACATACATCCCTTAGTTTGACACAGAACCATTGATTACTCTTTGAGTATGGTCTTTCAACCAGTTTTTTACCCACTTTATAGTAATTTAATCATTTCCCTAGTTTGCTTATGAGAATGTCCTGTGGGACTGTGTCAAAAGCCGTAATAAAATCAAGATATCTCACACCTACAGCTTCCCCCTATCCTCTTGGCCAATAACCCTGTCAAAAATGGAAATTAGGTTAATATGGCATGATGCATTCTTGACAACTCCATGTAGGCTGTTACTTATAACCCTATTATCCTCTAGGAGCTTACAGTGGGATTGTTTAATAATTTGTTCCAGTATGTTTCCAGGTATCAAAGCTAGCTTGAATGGTATCTAAATTAGCCACTGTTCCACAGGAGTGGAGGGCAGCAAATTTGTACATATATTTTAAAAAGGGTCTGTGGGTGACTGGAATTATAGTTCACAAAGCTTTGCATCTGTACCTGGCAAATTTATTGAAATGATCATTTAAAAGGGAAAACAAAATGTCTGAAAGATCATGATATGATAGGATTTAACCAGCATGGTTTCTACAAAGGAAAATGTCTCATTAATATCTTACAATTCTTTGAACATGTCAGTGAGGTAGTGGATAAAGGAGAAACAGTTGATGTTTATCTGAACTACCAAAAAAACCTTTGACCAGGTCCCTCAAAAAAAACCAAACAAAGTAGTCATGGACTGAGAGGTGAAGTATTGTTACGGATCAAAATCTGAGGAGGAGCTAGGAAGCAAAGGGCTATGTCTACATTGCAAATATTACAGCTGAACCTGCGCTGCTGTGGTGTAGATACTTTCTACAGTGATGGAAAGGTTCTTTTTTTAAATCCACTCCCTTGAGAGGTGGTAGCTAGGTTGACAGAAGAATTCTTCCTATGACCTAGTTGGTGTCTATACTAGGGCTTAGGTCGGCTTAGTTATGTTTTTCAGGAGTGTGACTTTTTTTCAAACCTCTAAGCAACATAGCTACATTGACCTAAGTTTAGGTGTAGGCCAGGTTGAGGATTAAGTGGCCAAAAAAGAAATATTTCCCACAATGTGTAATTAAGCTGTGGAAGTCGCTACCACAGAAAGTTGTTAAGGCAAGAATTTAACAAGATTAAAAAAAGGATTGGATACTTGACACAGATATCAAGAATATCCAGAGTTATATTTAGGTTAAAAATTGGTGGAACAGACATTAAACCAATCTCTGACTATTATAGATCACAATCAGACCTAAAGTTGGGAGTGCTGGGGCGCAGAACACAGTAGGGTTATTACATCTCGTTATATTTGGTGCTGGCCACTGTCAGAGACAGGATTCTGGATTAGATTGACTTTAGGTCTGATCCAGTATCGCAATTCCTATGTATCCTTTTGTAGTAATTTTCATGGAGCTGGTTGGAGGATTTTGGGTGTTGTTCCTCCCACTCTTCACAGGAGTGTTGCAACCCACTTCATGTCTGCTCAGTCCCCACCCACTCTTATCTCCCCAGAACAGCTTTCTGTGGAAGAGGGAGGAAAAGGTGACAAGGAGGCAGATGACATCCCATCCATCCATCTTTTTTCCTTCCCATTCCCCTGTAAACATTCTAGAAACCAAAAACAATGCTTTGTGCATGAGGGCTGAGATCTGCACAAGGGGCCATGATCCTGATGCTTTAAAACATACTAGTTACTCAGATATGTGTTTACCATCAAAGGTATGATAGAAGATAATACTTAGCTTCTCATCTGCAAGGAACATTATTGCATTAATTTTTGGTGGGTGAGGAAGCTTCCTTTTCTCCTCCTCCTATATTTATAATATGTTACTGCTAAAGAAATCAGAAGGTAAACTTTTGTGTGTTTTCTCTTTATTGGTGGCTTTTTCTCCTGAAGACAGGATCATATTTGTCTGGGTCATTATTTTTCAGGGCACAGATAAATCTGTCTTACTCTGGCAATGGCCCAGATATGTTTGGGTTAGTGTCGAGCATCCTAGAGGAGCCAAACAAGCCAGAACCCGTTACAGATTGGTAAGTTTATACTGAAAACTTGCATGGTGTTGTATGTCTTACATTTTAAAGTAAGTTTTATATATTTTACATAACAGTAGACATTTGACAAGACAACTTACGTGTTGTCTGACATAGTACTGAGTTTTAAGATATTTAAATAAGCTATCATCAAGTTAAATGGGAAAGATCTGTTACTAGTACTTACTTGGAATAAACTAAAGTAGAAAGGCAGTCTTCTGTTTATCCTTCTACCAGCAGATGGCAACTGGAAAGAGAAATGCATGTCTTTCGTTACTTTAGTTTTATTAAGAGTAACTTTATTATTATGACTGTGGATATATCTGAAGGTAAAGGTAGCTCATAATTCAGATCATTCTGAAATATATTTGTATTTCTAGATACTATAAAAATCTTAGGATTTTGAACTGATTGATCATTGCAGCTAAATCATTTTGAGTAAATGGCCTCCAACTTAAGAATTTTGCTGTAGCATAGGCAGCCTTTTTCACTCAACTAAGACAAATGTAGAAGGTTTTATAGTGGGGGTTTTAACGATATATACACAAGGCTATTAAAAAAAAAACCATTATAATACCGTCCGCATTTGTTTTAGTTGAGTGGAAAAGGCATCTTACCAAATGCTATGGCAAAATTCTTCAGTTGGAGGCCAGTTCCTCAAAATGATTTAGCAGCACTGATCAATCAATATAAAATGCTAAGATTTTTATATCTACACATACAAATACATTTCAGAATGCTTTGAATTGTTTATATATTTCCAGGATTTATGAACTATAATATCTAAGAAAACAAAAAATACCCCCCCGAACAGTAGCCAGTCCTGCAAATCAGTATTTTTTTTTTCTTCAATAAACTTACAGGGATAACATCAGAAGCAAAACATTAGTGTTGTATCTCTTCCCACATCATCCATCTGTCTTGTCTTTTTAGACTGCAAACTATTTGGGAGCAGGGACCAGATTTATGTTCTGCAAGGTACCTAGCATACTTTTGGGTCCTAACTAAATAATACTTTTAATTATACAACTGTGATGAAGTTTGCTAGTGGGATCTATGCAAATTATATTGTAGGAACATGAAAGTTAAATTTCTACCATTTTTGTTTTCCAAATGCAAAAAATATTTGTATGTAACAGAAGAAAATAATATGGCACTTTGAGTGCTATACTGATGAGATGCTTATTCAAAAGACAATGTCATAAAGTTGTGGGAATATACCAGCAAAGGAGGTACTCCCTTTTATTACTGTCATGAATTTTGGAGTGTCTTTCCTTTATAAAGAGAAGCAATGATATATTGATAATGCATAATGATAAGAGCCATAATTTTGATTGTCCCCAAGAAGAGCCCATATTTTGGGTATAGAATCGTAGAATATCAGAGTTGGAAGGGACCTCAGGAGGTCATCTAGTCCAACTCCCTGCTCAAAGCAGGACCCATACCCAATTAAATCATCCCATCCAGGACTTTGTCAAGCCTGACCTTAAAAACTTCAAAGGAAGGAGATTCCACCAACTCCCTAGGTAACCCATTCCAGTGCTTCACCACCCTCCTAGTGAAAAAGTTTTTTGTAATATCCAACCTAAACCTCCCCCTCTGCAACTTGAGACCATTACTCCTCATTCTGTCATCTGCTACCACTGAGAACAGTCTAGAGCCATCCTCTTTGGAACCCCCTTTCAGGTAGTTGAAAGCAGCTATCAAATCCCGCCTCATTCTTCTCTTCTGCAGACTAAATAATCCCAGTTCCCTCAGCCTCTCCTCATAAGTCATGTGCTCCAGGCCCCTAATCATTTTTGTTGCCCTCCTCTCAGGGCTGTCCTTAGGATTTATGGGTCCCTATGCAATATTATTAAACTGGTGCCCCTATGCCTGATGGCAGCCCAGGCTCACATGTGTATTTTAGATAAGGGTGGCCTTTTGAAGGATTTATTTAAAAAACTATATGTCTGAAGAGCCAAGCATTGAAGGCTAAAGATGAATACTCAGATTGTGCATCTAAAAATCTATGCAAGGATTTTTTAGAGATGTGATTTTTATAATCTTCAGCAACCCACTAATGAAATATTTTTAAAGCAAATTTTAAACTTAAGGTCCTGTAGACTAACATGTTCTGAGGCAACCCCGCCGATCAGCGCCTCCCGCATCTCCTGATCAGCTGTTTTGTGGTGTGCAGGAGGCTGTGGGGGGAGGAGCGAGGGCACTGCAGGCTCAGGGGAGGGGGCGGGAAGGGGTGGAGTGGGGGCAGAGCCAGGGGTTGAGCAGTGAGCACCCCCCGGCACATTGGAACTTTGGCACCTGTAGCTCCTGCCGTGGAGTCGGTGCCTATACAAGGAGCCGCATATTAACTTCTAAAGAGCCACATGTGGGCCACCCCTGTCATAGAAGATTGCTAAGAGGGGAGGCCATCAGACATTTTCAACTATTACAGGAGTCAAATCTGTATCTGACGGCTTACGAATATTGTTAAACATCGAGCAGGATGATGTGTATATTTAAAACAATGATTAGAAAACCTTATAGAAAGGAATTTAAATAAATGCTTTCTTGCTGGGGGCAAAAACACACTTTTGAACAAGGAAAATATAATTAAAGAAATAAGAATTACTGCAGAACATGGAATCGACCTTGCGGAGATGTTGTGAGGCTTAATTTTGTTTTAGAATACTAAGGAATCTTTCTATGGAAAGTGCTATATAAGTTCAAATGTCAATACAGAAACTCTTAAAGAATAAAAAATTAAGTCTCTGAAGATTACGAAGGGCAAATAGTAGTGATTGAAGCACCAAAATGTGACTAGAAAAAACAATAAAAAATAGACTTTAGGAAATAATTATAGGCTGTCAACAGTCTAGTACACTAGTAGTTTTTTATTGCTGATTTCTGTGACAAAACTTCTTGAAATTATATCTTTAGCAAAGGTTTTAGTAGTAGCTTTGCATTTTGAAAAGACACTAAACTCTCTGAACAAAGCTATAATGTAACATAAATGTGTTTGGTCATTCCTAAAAGTGCAATTCTATTTGTTACAGGAATTCTCTGTCGAGATTGTTTCCCCCTATGTGGGCATCTGACATTGGAAACAATGGTGACTTCTCAGGTCTGTCTTCTAAGCATCCTTTACAAAGTAAAGATTTTCCAAACCTGATTGGCACACAGAGCTATTATCAAGGACACTTGCAAAAGTCACCTGATGTAGAGACTTTACACAGAGGATTTGAAGACCTTCATCTTATAGAGTCTTGGCTTTCTCCTTCTGACCCATATACTCAGCCATCTGATGATATCTTGAACATTTACCCTGAAAATTCTGCTTTTGAAAATAATGCCATAATTCAGCAAGAAGGATTAGCATTTCAGAATGTACAATTTAATCAGCACGTGTGCAATTATGATAAGATGAACTTAAATGGAGACAGTGAAAAGAACTGCTCTGATTTTAGTAATTTTTCTTCTCAATGCAGAATTAAAGATGGCACTGGTATTCAGAAAGAGTATTGGGAAACTGACAGAGCAAGAGGCAAACTTACAAAAAATGACAAACAAGAGCAAGCAAAGTACTCCAATGATGCTAATGGCACTTGGGGCAAAATGTTCCAGGACAACCATTTGTTTTCTAAAAGATATGAAGATTTTACAACTTCTCATAAATCACAGCCATCTGTTCACCAATCGCTCTATTTTTTCAATCAACCATTTACTAAAGAAAATAGTTTTCCTGGAGGATCAAATAGAAACCCACAGGAAACGCACTTGCAAAATGGCCATAATAGCTTCAATTTGGGAGAAACCTGTAATAACTCTGAATGTAAGAGCCATATTAATCCTAAAGAATGTTCTCGTAAACCTTCTGAATATCATTTATCTGTAAAAACTGCTCAACAAAATGGAAACTTTCATTCACCTTACCGTGGACATACGTGGCTGGATGGTAAAATCTTAAGTCCCACATCTACATCAGATATTGCATATAGGAAGCAAAACCAAGTAGTAACAAGCCCACAGTCTTCTTCTGGGGTTTCAACTATGTCCAGTGGATCTCCAACACATCAGTCTGTAACCCAGCCCTCTTATTACTCACAGTTGTCACCGGTGCCCTCTTCAAGGAAAGATGGAAGGTTACAAATATCAAATAGTGTTCCTGGTAACTTGGGGGGTTCAAATTTCTTTGCAGAAAATCAGAAACAAATTAAACCTATTGGACATTCCCAGCATGATTCATTGACTAATAAAGGCCAGTATCGTAAAATACCCGTTAATTTGTCACACAACTGGTTAACACAGCAGAATTCGGCAAGTGATGAGTCTGAAAAGTATCATAGGTTTCGCAAAAAGCAAAACCAAGATAACTGTAATAAAGATGAAAGAAGAGGTAGAAGGAATTGGATACCCCATCCTGGGTATGCAGGGCAAAATCAGCAACAGTTCAGCATGTTCCGAAAGAAGCAAGAACAGAATGGTGGCAACATGTCAGATTTCATCAATCCTTCTTTTCTTCCTTCTTTCCCATTAATGTCTGATTTTAAGCAAAATCCCAATTTTACTCCATTTAATCCCCATCCTTTTCCATCAGCAAATAATTTTGCTTTTCCTCCATCACCATTTCCATTCTCGGAACTTGTTGATCTTTTTCACTATGATGATTTTAACCATTTGAATCCCTTCATTAACGACCTATTTTGTGGGGAATTAAGTGCACCATACTTTGCCTTTCCAACTCCTTTTAACAAGTATAGGCCTCCAAGAAATCGCAGTGGACCTGCTAATGAGCTTCATATTCGACTGGAGGAGTGTTATGAACAGTGGAGAGCTCTGGAGAAGGAGAGGAAAAAGGTAATAATATATACCATGATAGACTTGTATGTGATTATAAAGGAACAGCTAGGTAGAGTAGAAATTCCTGCATCTTACTGGTAAAAAGGAGCCAGTCTTGCTGCCTTTTTGAAATATTGTGACTTTAATTCCACTCTAAATATTTTGAGCCCCATCTACAACCATCTATTTTGAGTATACAAAATTGTAAGAAGATACCAAACAGTGTGAATGTCGTACAATTGTGCGTGAGACTGAGATTCACCTTTCATTTTTCAGGGGCACAGGAGTTAGGACCGCTTATTCAGCAGTAATTTTCTTGAACTAAATTACACCTGACACCAGTGGTTGCTTAACCAAGTACCCTCTTTGGCCAAAGGTCTTATATTATCTGGTGGCATGGATCCTATTCTTCGGTTCATGTTGTTCAGTGCAAGTTTAGTAGCCAATAGTTACCACTATCCATGGATCGTGGAAGAGGCTACTGATGTGACTTGTATAGCTAAAGCCTGAATAGTTGATAAAGCAGGGACTTTATTAGTCCAGCTATTTTGGATAGTACTCAGTTCAGCATGAACTGAGGGAGGGCCAAGAGGATGGTTGTTTATATCTGACTTCAAATATAAGAGATATGTCACTCTAAAACATATTATTTTGGCTTTGTCCAATATATCTTTATCTGCCTGGTATTGGGCTTTGCTTAGGCCTGTAGTCATAGGTGAGTTTCATGTCCATGTGGATGACTTTTCAGGGCTGATATCTTCTCAAAGCCAATATGTTAAACCGGGGATTGTCCTTGGGGGTTTCAAACACAACCACTGCAGCAATTGAGGACATCTCATGTACTTGCTAGTAGTTCCTGGATTTGACCATCTGAGAATCCTTAACAAAATGTTATCAGTAGGCAGTTGGGAATTCACATCTCTAATTTGGTGTGACAAAGCTACAGTGTAACCTTTCAAGGACGGTGCAAGATCCTTCTATTTACTTGTATCTGTACCCAAGACTGGTTAATATTGTAAAAGTAATTTTATTTATTGGTTACCGATGTTGATTCTAGATTTATGCTTTAAAGTAGTACTTGGAATTTTTGGAAGTACCCTTATATTTACAGCCAGTTGTTGGCAATTTAAAGTTTAATCATGACTTCTTATTGTTTTAAATGCCTCCAGAGACTTAAACAGCAGACACATCTCATCCATCCATGTAGAAGTGAAAAAATAGAAAAGCTTAGGCTATAGGATGAAACTCCATTCTAAATATTTTAAAGGTATGTGTTTTCTCTTCAGACTGAAGCTGATCTTGCAAGAAACTTTCCAGGAAAGCGGGTATCTAGCTCAAATAACACTCCTGTTTCTCGACTTCCTGCTAACCCTTCACGAGTGGATCGTTTGATTGTGGACCAGTTACGAGAACAGGCCAGAGTAAGCATACTTACAGCATGGAATCTTCTGCAGGGATTAGTAACATCAGGTTATATTTTTGTGGGTTTATTATATTTTGTGTAGGATTTTAAAAAATTAACTGTTTTTGGTGTTTGAAATATATTCGTTAGGTGCTCACCTTAATAGGAAAAATGGAAAGGCTTCGTGGTACTCCTGTCCATGGGAATATATCCAAAACTCTGGAACATCATTTAGAAGCCATTCATGTTACACAAGCGAGGCGGAAAGATGAGATTGTCAATGCTGCCAATCCACAGAGACAAGGAGCACCTCGCTATAATAATGAAAAAGGTAAATACTTTTGATTGCTTTGTAGTTCTAAAAATTGGTTTTTTTTCCAATTGGTATTCAGTTCAATTTGTAACACATTTTAAATGTTGTTTTAATGGTAACAAGTAGACTTACTCCCTTAAACAGAAACTTTCTCTATATGTGTGCCTTTGACTTTAAAAGAGAAAAATCCCCCTCACTTGTATCAGGTAATTTCTGCATAGACTTTATTCTGTTTTGTGTTGTTGATTTTTAGACCCCTTCTTGTCACAAGATATTTTCTCGGTTTAAAAAAAAAAAGCCCTCTTTATTTTATTAAATAATCAGATTTTGTTAAAGACTCTGGATGAATTCCTACTTGTTTCAATGCATGCTGCTATTTAACAGGCAGGGGATATGAGAGTTATCGCTGTAAAAAGGTAGCCTATGACTGGGAATTGATACCAAACAAAAATATCTGCCAAGTAAGCAATTCACCATCCTTAATTAGGTTGTACTCATTTTAACAAATTGAGCTTCGTCATTAATAGTGATTTGAGAGTGGGCTTTCATCCTTCTTAGCTTACACAGTGAAAATTTCCTTGGTCTTACACTGCTTATTAATTGATGTTTTGTTTGTCACAAAACCACTACAAATTTGGCCTGATTGGCAGCTTCTGCCGAGGTATAGCAAGCAAGACTGTTTGATGACAGGAGTCAAGTGCACTGGTGAATCAAAACCAGACCTCTTTTGTTGGGATCCCATCTATCCAATTTGGAGGCACCAAAAAAAAAAAAAAAAAAAAGAAAAGTTGGGTTTCTTTGTTTTTGCTTTGTTTAAAAAAAAAAAAAAAAAGGAAGAGGAGGGAGGAGGATAACTCTTTGTGTAAGATAGAAGCCCAGGATCCTAAGGTTAAGCATATTGTGGGCTAGTACTTCCCTGCTAGCAGTGAAAAGAACAGGCTTTACCACCAGATCTTGGTGTTGAAGAGTTCGAGTTCACCGCCAAGAACAGAAGTTGTATTCGGCAGTTAATTGAAAGTAAGTAAATTCCACATGGAAAAGGCCGTATGTCCAGACTCCAAAAGTGGAATCCACAGTCTCAGTTGAAAAATAAGACCATCCTGATCCTGTGGACTTTTTCCTCTTAAAGATGTCAGACAGACTGGAAAAGCTGTAATAAAAAAAAAATCCACATTTGAGTTAGTAGACAGATTCTTGTAGACTTCCACTGCAATTGCGTGTTTGGAGGAACTTATCCCAAACAAGGACAAAAGAATTGGCTTTTTAATGACAAATATCTCTGGCAGTTCTATTCATGCTAGCCCCAATCACATTTCCAGCCAGACCCTTCGTGGGTAGTGCACGAGTTAAAAGGCAGCTTTGGCTTCATCCGTGGGTTATATTTTTCAAGCAACCAGTTACTACTTTCGTAATGGTGATTGTGATCTGTGTAACCCAGACAAGAATGGCGGAGAATTTCAAGTAGGACAAAGTCATTGTCTACCTCCACATATGTTCTCCAGAAAGAGCATACATACTATAAATCTTGTATCTCCTTTCAACCGGTCCAGATGCAACAAGAAAGACCGCTCATCCTATACAGGCAAACTGAAGATTAGATCTTACAAGGAGACAAGACAAGAGATAGTCTTTCAAGGTGTTTTCTCCTTTGTGATTTCTTGAATCGTTATGATTATCCACAAGGAATAAGTATCTTACACAGAGCAGTATATCGTGATTGATCATGTTAAATGTTGCAGAGAGAGCCAGGATAAAGGTGGAAGGCTGCCCTCCATCCATCTACATCAAGAGAACATCCATCTGTGCCAATAATACAGTTTTTGCTCCATGTTCTTGGGTAAATCCAGATTGCTTAGGGGCCGATATCTTGGTTTGAGATCAATGAGACTGAAAGTGATTTATTGCTAGCTTGCTGGGAACCCTAAAGATTTCATAGTGGATACTAGCCAATTCGAGTGCATCCAGGGTGTATTTCTTAAGTGTTGGTCAGTCTGGTCTATGATTCAAGGATGAAGGGTGGACTTACTCACTGAGTGAGGCATTGGCTATCTCTGTCAGGTGAAGCTCCAGTTTACTTTTTTAAAACCAAGCAGGAAGGGTAGGTATAGGACAGGGGTCGGCAACCTTTCAGAAGTGGTGTACCAAGTCGTCATTTATTCACTCTAAGGTTTCACATGCCAGTAATACATTTTAACATTTTTAGAAGGTCTTTCTCTATAAGTCTATATTATGTAACTAAACTATTGTTGTATGTAAAGTAAACAAGGTTTTTAAAATGTTTAAGAAGCTTCATTTAAAATTAAATTAAAATGCAGATCTTATCAGTTTAGTGCAGTGGTTCTTAACCTGGGGTGCACGCACCCTGGGGGTGCAGGATGCCCTTTCTGGGGGTGCGAGACAAGCAAGATTTTTTTAGAAGGTAAATCATCGAAAAAACAAATTAAGTGCAGGCACATAAGTACAACTATTTTGTTTCATCAAACCTATGTATTTATTAACATTATACATTTTTAATGATTTCTGTAATATACAGACAGAGTTTTTAAGTTTTCAAGTTTTGAAGCTAATTGTAGTGTAACTTTTGATAAGGGGTGAGAGAACATATTTTAAGAACTCCAGACCATCAGCGGGCTGAGCGGGGATGGGTGGAGTGTATTAAATTGCTCCCCATAGGAATGTGCTACTTACAGTGTACCGCTTACGGCTGCCCGTCCTGATGCTCTGAGCGGCATGGTAAGGGGACAGGGAATGGGGTGGCTGGATAGGCGTGGGCGTCCCAAGGGGCCGGTCGGGGCTGTGGATAGGGGTCGGGGCAGTCAGGGAGCAGGGGGGCTTGGATGAGGGGGTGGGATCCCGGAGGGGGTGGTCAGGAGACAAGCAGCAGGGGGATTGGATGGGTGGAGGGTTCTGAGGGGGATAGTCAGGGGGCAGGAGGTCCCAGGAGGGGGGGGACAAGGAGCAGGGGCGGTGTGGGATGGGTCAGAGGTTATGAGGGGGGCAGTCGGGGGAGGGAAGCAGGCCGGCTGTTTAGGGGGGCACAGCCTTCTCTACCCAGTGTAGTGTATTAAATTTCTCTCCATAGGAACGTGCTACTGACGGTGTACTAGTTACGGCTGCCAGTCCTGGTGCTCCGCAAGTAGCGCATGCCTACGGGGAGAAATTTAACACACTGCACCGGCGGACAGAGCCCCAGACCGAGGGCGGGCTGAGACGCTCAGCCCACCACTGGTCTGGGGTTCCGTCCGCCAGCTCCTGCCAGCCGGGGTCCCAGCCACCGGCCCCACTCAGCCCGCTGCCGGCCTGGGGTTCTGTTCACTCAGGCTGGCAGCAGGCTGAGCAGGGGCGGCGGCCGGGACCCCGGCTGGCAGCAGTGTGCCAGTAAAAATCGGCTCGTGTTCCGCCTTTGGCATGCGTGCCGCCGGTTGCCGACCCCTGGTATAGGACTTGCAGGTTTGGGATTAAATCTCCTTTAGGGTGTTCAATAATTCCTTTGTTGTGAATGGGCTGAACTCAGTGAATGATAACATGTAAGTTGTCACACTATCTTGAAGGAAAGGAAATTTTTAGTACAAAGTTCTTTTTTTTTTTTTCCCCCCTGCTTTGTATGTCAGCACCATTTGTCACCAACAGCCTGTGTTCTGGAGTCTGAATTTATCTCATAACTTCGGTGCATTCGAAAGCCTAGAATATAACTAAAGAAATATTGGAAATATGGTTCTTTAATAACAGGGTGCAATCTTTCCCGCGGTTTCTTGGAATTACGTTACTATAATAAAAGGAGGACTTGTAGCACCTTAGAGACTAACAAATTTATTTAAGCATAAGCTTTCGTGAGCTACAGCTCACTTCATCAGATGCATTCAGTGGAATGCATCCGATGAAGTGAGCTGTAGCTCACGAAAGCTTATGCTCAAATAAATTTGTTAGTCTCTAAGGTGCCACAAGTCCTCCTTTTCTTTTTGCGAATACAGACTAACACGGCTGCTACTCTGAAACCTGTCATTACTATAATACAAAGTGTTGGCTGAATTCAAGAGATTTTTGTCTAATCAATAGATGTCATGGTGGTTTATTAGTTCTGTTGTGATGTAGTTGCATATTCTTGTCTTTGTAGATGTTCTTGCTCTGGCAGCTGCCATTAAAGAGTTAGCTGTTTCCACACGCAAGGCTCGTACTGCTTTATGGTGTGCACTGCAGATGACTCTACCAAAAACCTCCTTAAGCACTCCAGTGAAACAGGAGGAGGTCGAAAGGGCATTGCAAGAGCTTTGTCCAGGAAACACAAGCACACAAGAAAAAAATAGTGCAGATCCTGAAGACCAGGGAAGCAAAAAAGAGAAACATGAGGAACCCATACAGATTTCTGAATAACTGTGCAGAGAAAAAAAAAAAAAAAGGAAGAAAGTGAATTGCATTGTGCTATGGAGAACTTTTTTTTGCTAGGTTATCAGAAAAAATAAGGATAACTCAACTGATCAGTGCTGCAATTTTATTACTGTGATTCTGGTGTTGACAAATATTTCTTGTAATAGTGTTATTGCAGTTTTAATATTGCTGGTATTGCAGTGTCTTCTATGTAAGATAAAGATTTTATTAATAAGGGGAACTGGGCAATAGCTGATCATTTTCTTGACCACTTAGCCAAAGCTATGTATCAGCTGTGACCCAAGCCATGATCTGAGAAACCAGTGAGTGGCTAAGCTAATTTTGATTCTTTTCTTCATTTGTTAGTTTTAAAATTTAACATTCTTTAGAAATGTCATTTTTAAAGGGTATTCCATAATTATTGGGGTTTTTGCACCATTATGTATTCTTTTAAGTGCCAGAATGATTGCTAAAAAATGTAATTGTTTGTACTGTCACTCAACACTGAATAGTCCACACTTCTGCTTTGCTATTGTGACAGGGTGTCAAATCTTTCAGGTAATTGCCAAGAGTCTGACTGGAATAATCAGAGTTTAATGTTCGTTACATGACCTGCTTGTTCTGCCAATTAAAAGTTTCCAGCTGGACCAATCTAAACCAAAAGTTCCCATAGTATAATCCTTGTGGCAAAATTTTTACATAATAAATAAATGAAGAACTAATTTTAAGGAATTTTTAGAGTTGCAGTATATTGCATTAAAATACAGTTGGCAGTTAACATAAAATTGTTACTCGGACTTAGAAATTAGATTTACTGATGCCTAATGGTTAAAAACAGTAAGTATGCACTTAATGAAAAATTACATGGTTAATAATATGTTTATGGTATTTTAATTTTCAGAAACATTCCATATTTATTTTAATGTTTTGATTAAATGTTTATTTAAAATTCTATTTTAATAATATACAGTTGGGTCTTTTGCCAAACCTTCCTAATAATCAGATTTAATGATTTACTCAGGAACTATGTATATTATATATATAAATACACACAGTATATAGGGGTTTTTTGAGGGGTAGGGATGTTTGCAAGATATTTACACAAAGCTAACTATACTAGGTTACCAAAGCTGTTGAATTGATTTGTTTTAGCATGAGAAGATTTCATATGTTTAATTGCTATTTAGTAGTCTTCATCCTGGGGCTTAGACAATCAGAAGTGTATCAATGTGAATGTACAGAGTAAGAATTAGAAAAGGATGAATAATTCATATTTTGATCTTAATCACACTACTTATGAGTATTTTAATGCTTTATCAATCGTGTCTTAATGTTAGATTGTCTTTCAAAATGTACTAATTACCAAGTGTGTTCTTAGGTGTTAGTATATTGATGAATGGCTTTGGAGAGCAGTTCTTGTTTTAAAAAATAATTATGTTGAGGACAGGAGAAAAAGTTCAAAGACTTAAAATGAAGATTTATCTGTGTTTCATGATGATATGATATTGAATTTGACGCTTTCTTGATAAATATATAATTCTGTTTGCATATACATGTACTTGCTAAATATTCCAAACAGTCTGTAATTTTGGACCTGTGAATGTTTCTAGAACATCTGTGGTCTTATAGTTCTATTAGTACCAATATAGTACCAGTGGTCATACCATTGTTAATGGTAATGAGGTGATGAGTGCATCATTTTGTAGAACAGGAAGTCACTAAAGCCTCATTTTGATCCACTGATTAAACAAAGGAATCATAAGAAGGCAGAATCTTATTAAAAGTATGCTCCACATTTTCTAAAGAAAACTTAATCCATTTCAGTGGATATTTTTAAGCCTTAGTCTAAAACTAAAAATTGGTACTGAAGAGAATTATTTCAGTGCTGTCTCTGTGTGTGTGTGTGTGTGTGTGTGTGCGCGTGTGCAAAATCTGTTTGCACTAATATCTGAAGGTCAGATGTGTTTTTGTGAAATTATAGTTGGTGGTTTGAAACATTTTCAGAGTTTACAGTATTTGAGTTGTTGGAATTTAAGTTACGATTTCTGTTTCCTGTTAACATAGTATTTGAAAGTCTTGATTTGCATTTCTATTTACAGAATAATTTGTAGTCTTGCAGGATTGTTTTGTAGTATTGAATGTATTGGGCATATTAGGTCCTTATTGTATTGTTTGTATGTAAGTTATTGTGCAGGAATGTGATCTTAATCAGTTCATAATATAGTTAATGTGCCTTTAAAAGTCTTATTTTTCAAAAACGGTAAGTAACTGTGTATGCTCACTTTAGCTTTCTGTTGCAATTTAATAATACATTTAAAGGGGTTAAATGTAGCTGCATTTGACTATAGCTAACGTAGCATATGGTATTAGTGTTTTTCTTGCATAATATTTGATTGTCCAGTTATGGACTCTTTAACATGTGTAAGGCACCATAGCTGTTGAGAGTTGCCACAAGTCAAGTGTATTCATAACAGAGTTTAGTTGTGTTGCCCACAAATGCAACATGTGCACATTTAATTCTTTTTGACTTGACCGGCCTGTATTCTTCTTAAAATGTGAACTATCTGATGGTCCTCTTAGTATGGAAATTTTTCTGACCATTTCTTGAAATACTTAAACAATTAACATCATTGCAATGTAAAAACAAAAATTCTTTCAAGACGCTTCCGTTCTGTTTTTGGTTTGCTACACATTCTTCTATATTTCAGGGCGGAAATACAGTCTTTTGGAAGTTTACCAGTGTAAGTTTGGGATTACAATAGTTCTGTGCAGTCATATAGTGTTCCTAATTGACTATTGTTTGACTTGATAATGAAAAGCAGTTTCCATACATATTCCATTCAGAGCTTCAGGTGAATAAATATCATTTCCTTCTCTGGTTTGTTAGGGCCTAACCCTAGTCTCATGTCATTGACTTCCGGGGAAGCAGACCTGGGTTATTAGTTAGCAGTCTGGATTAAAGTGGATAGCGGTGTGTGAGTTTTTGAGTTTGTGGAGCAATCAAACAGTATACGGTGAATTTTTCTGTTTAAAAAGTTTTCACCCCATCCTGTCCTTTTTTCTTCTAATTGGCTCGCACATTTCAGGTGTGCGGTTAAGTGTGGGGATGAGGGTGCTGAGTGTTCACTGTGGCTAGTCCACAATACTAGTCAGCTCAGTTCCAAGAGTGCAGAATGTTTAAGAATTCTTGTTCAAATCATGTTAGTTAAAATACAATTGTATTTATTTTATTAGAATAGGGCTGAAACTTTAAGATCCTAAATTGATAACACAATACAGTATAGACTTAAAAATCACAAGCTAACATCCCTTTTATGGGTTATTCCCCCGATAGTGGACTGGAAGCTTGTGCTTGTTTCCTATTTCCACTTTTTTGTTCCCCCCACAGAAAGTGTATGGCCTGCTGCAAAATGAGTACTGTTCCACCAATATGTTTAGCACCTGTGCCTTTGCCTCTCCTCCTCTACATCCCCAGAGTCCCTATGATAGTAAAGCTATTGTGATAGAACTGGTGTAAGTTAACACGAATGAGATCAGTATTAATTTGTCAGCATTAAGGGAAGTGAGATTGTCCAGGAATGTGGCTGTTCTGTATGGTGCCATGTCCCAACAGAGGGGATCTCCAGGATCAAGAAGTCTTTACAATAAACTAGGGCCTCATCTTTCTACAGGGCCTCATCTTCTGCCTCTTGCTGTCCTCCATTTGTGGAAACAGTGATGGATACTTTTTTCTAAATGAAGTAAAATTCATTGGTGCTCAATGTCCCTGATAGTGAAGGGCTTTTAGCACATAACTAACGTTTGGGTTTTTTTATCTCAGTTCCCCTCGGCCTGAAACCATAGCTTTCAACACTACTCAATGTGACATTTTCGGAACACATCCTTTTGTGAAGTCACAGCTACTGGTTCTCACTGAACTAAGGAGATGGCCTATAGGAAGTTGGATGTGTTTGGGTTTTTTTAATTGCTATACAGTATTACTATGAATAAAATGTAAAACCCTTGAGAATTATTTTTAAAAGATAATATAAAACACAATGCCATTTTCTGACCTGCTCTGAAAGCTGGTTTCATTTTCTATCTGTGCTCTGTGCAGCTTTATGTCAAAATGATGGATTCTGAGGCAATCCAAAAGATGACTGGTGTGTTTTTTGGTAGGGTCTGAGAAGTGAGCTTTAAATTAATTCTCCTTTCCGTTCAGGACATTTGAGTAGAATTGGCTTTTGTAAAATGTGCAGGTCTCCGCTAATTTGTGAAGACTTGAGTTCAGGATTCTTTTTCAACTCTGCAAGTGTTGACCTCAACTGAAAAAGAGAGCAGGAACACCACACTCTGGTATATTAGGCTAATATGATGGAGGAGCTAACTTTCAAATGTGTCTTTAAATGTAAATGCATTTGAAATTAAGGCTACACAGAAATTGTTCACAATCCTGCTTCCACTGAAGTCAATAGTTTTGCCAGATACTGACTTCAGTTGGGTTTACTGTTTTACTGACCTAAGTCTTTACTATTTAAGTTTTTTTGTATATACAGGCTTTGCAGTTCATATTGAACATTAGGTACTAAGACACTCCCGAAACATATGTTTTTCCTAACTTTATTGTAAGGTTTTTAAACATAGTAACATCTTGGAGTTAGGAGAAATAGTCTGCTTTCATTTAAAGCTGAGGAATGTACCTACTGTAAGATGCTTTGGCTGAGTTAAATCAATAGGCTTTTGAGAAATTTGCACCTTGTTTTATCCTGATTTGCCTGGATAGAAATACAGCCTTAACCGTGTTAAGATCTTGATTTGTTTCTTGTGCAGTTTTATCTGTCTCAATCACCAGCACTTTTCTGTTTTGTGGAAACGTATAAATAATTATAAAAGGAAAAACTGTGTATCTATGAAGTTACTTTTTTATGATAAATTGTTTTACAATTTGCTTTTAAAAAGCACTTTCTTTTTCTTTAGTTTTTTACTTTTTAATAGTGCAACCAAATCTGTCAATTTTATAGCGTGGTGACTCATTTTTCTTTCTTAGCAATACTACAATTAAAGGTGCAAAAAAATAAGGTGCATTATAATGTATTTATTTAGCCTTTGTTGTTAGAAGTTGAAAATGTATGGAATAAAGTAGTTTTGAGCAACTTTTTTAGAATTGGGGAACTGAAACTATAAATCCTCTGCTTCTTATTTGCCAGATAAGCTTTAAAAAGGAAATTGTTTGCATATACTATATGAAAGCTAACTAATGAGAGCAAGGATAGACCAGTGTCAACGTTAAAAAAATCAATTCCAGATAAAGGTTGCTTTACATTTTTTACTGTACAAAATAAAACTGGTCTAAAACTTGTGTATGCACAGTAATAACTTAATGAACCTAGGGTTTTTTTCCCCCACAAAATTAGGCTATTTCCAATATATATGGGGAAAATAAGTTTACTTTTATTTTTATGACATATACAAAGACTAATAGTGTCTATATTTTAATATACTGTTTAGTGTCTGAAGTATATCTTTTACATGTATGTTGGTCAATCTCATTTAATTAAAAACAAATTTTACACTGTTAGTGAAATATTACTGAAGAAAGCTATTGTGAGTTAATCCATTTAGTAGACCCAACAGAAATAAGTGGAAGTATACATTTAACTAAAAGAAGCAAGATGTCAATTGTTAATACTTAATGATTAGTCAATTTAGGCTTATTTCAGTGTTTCTGTAAAATAACTGGATATTTAATGAACGTTGCAAAAATATCACTTCTACCTCTTGTGTAACACTTAACTTTAAAAAAGGTTATTTATACTACACAGATTTCTGTTGGGACATACTTTGCTATTTTAGAAAGTTGATACACCTTAACTAGTGAATTTGGTGTGCATTTTTTGTTTTCGGTTAGACAGCTCTCTTATGTGGAATACCAGGGAGCCTTGCGGCTAGATTGTGTTCACTTGTGTAATGTAACCTACCATGATGTGTACACTTAAATATGGTTTATATTAAGAAAAAGGTACAACAGTAGAAAGAGATGCTAAGGTTTGTATTACATGTATGAAAGTCACAGATTTATGAGAATCCTGTAATAAATCATGGCCAGTGTAATTTTCTAGCATTTTTTTTATGTATGTGATTGTTTCCTTATTTAAATAATCAGTTGTGTTGTATGTATGTGGCTAATAAATAGTTACAACTGTTGTTTTATTCAGTTCAACTCATGTTACTTTTCAGCTGCTGTTCTATATGCGAGGTGTTTCTTGTTTGTTTGGGGTTTTTTTGTAATTCACTGAAAAGACCTCTTGTATGTTCTGGGTAACACTTACAGTTGTAAAAATAATTAAACTATTTCGTATTTTAAATCACTGATTGTATTATTTCAGTAAATTTATGTGTGGTGGTGGGAACACCAGATGTCAATGGGTAATACTTGTTTTACATGGGTCAATGTTAATGAGCAATATCCATTATTCCAGTTTCCAGGTGTGAGGTCACATGTATGAGGTGCAGAATCTTTCTAAACATCAAAACTTAAATGAATTAATAAACTAATAATTGATAATACATAAAAGGAGAAGAGGTTAGTAAATAACCTAAGTAACTTTCACCTCTTTTTTCACCTCTCTTTTCTCCCTGCGCGAGTGAGGTTACTGCAAGGGAATTCAATCTTGTTGGATAAGCTGATGTACAATTTAGCTGTAATTATTTCACAAAGCATCACAAATCAATTTCTGTTATGTTAGCACTTAGAAGCCCCAGTCCTGATCAGACCATTGGGCTAAGTTCTTTGCAAACACAAGAAGACCTAGATAGGCCCTTCACCGAAGAGCTGACAACCTAAGACCCTGATCCTGCAGTGAGATATGTGCAGGTGGACCCCTGGGCCCACACAGAGCCCCACACAGTTGGTGGAGCTCTGCATAGACCCAGGTGTGTGTCTGTGCATTTTGGAGGTTCAGGCCTAAGATGACAATCAGTATTCAAAAGGGTAGGGGAGAGGATATAGGCAAAATATGTAGAATGTTCTAGATCTATTAAATTACATGTTCCTGTTTCATTTTAATTCACACTGTGATCCTTTCTACTTTTATTTTGTATACAATATATAAAAGCTTATTTTGTATAGCTTGTGTGACATGTTTTGAGAAAAGAAAAGGAGGACTTGTGGCACCTTAGAGACTAACAAATTTATTTGAGCATAAACTTTCGTGAGCTACAGCTCACTTCATCGGATGCATTCAGTGGAAAATACAGCGGGGAGATTTATATACATAGAGAACATGAAACAGTGGGTGTTATGATACACACTGTAACAAGGGTGATCAGGTAAGGTGAGCTATTACCAGCGGAGGGAACAACATTTTGTAGTGGTAATCAAAGTGGGCCATTTCCAGCAGTTGACAAGAACGTCTGAGGAACAGTGGGGGGTGTGAGGGGAGAATAAACAAGGGGAAATAGTTTTACTTTATGTAATGACCCATCCACTCCCAGTCTCTATTCAAGCCTAAGTTAATTGTATCCAGTTTGCAAATTAATTCCAATTCAGCAGTCTCTCGTTGGGGTCTGTTTTTGAAGTTTTTCTGTTGAAGAATTGCAACTTTTAGGTCTGTAATCGAGTGATCAAAGAGATTGAAGTGTTCTCCAACTGGTTTTTGAATGTTATAATTCCTGATGTCTGATTTGTGTCCATTTATTCTTTTACATAGAGACTGTCCAGTTTGACCAGTGTACATGGCAGAGGGGCATTGTTGGCACATGATGGCATATACCACATTGGTAGATGTGCAGGTGAACGAGCCTCTGATTGTGTGGCTGATGTGATTAGGCCCTATGATGGTGTCCCCTGAATAGATATGTTGGCACAGTTGGCAACGGGCTTTGTTGCAAGGATAGTTCCTGGGTTAGTGGTTCTGTTGTGTGGTTGCTGGTGAGTATTTGCTTCAGGTTGGGGGGCTGTCTGTAAGCAAGGACTGGCCTGTCTCCCAAGATCTGTGAGGGTGATGGGTCGTCCTTCAGGATAGGTTGTAGATCCTTGATGATGCGTTGGAGAGGTTTTAGTTGGGGGCTGAAGATGATGGCTAGTGGCGTTCTGTTATTTTCTTTCTTGGGCCTGTCCTGTAGTAAGTAACTTCTGGGTACTCTTCTGGCTCTGTCAATCTGTTTCTTCACTTCAGCAGGTGGGTATTGTAGTTGTAAGAATGCTTGATAGAGATCTTGTAGGTGTTTGTCTCTGTCTGAGGGGTTGGAGCAAATGCGGTTGTATCGTAGAGCTTGGTTGTAGACAATGGATCGTGCGGTGTGGTCTGGATGAAAGCTGGAGGCATGTAGGTAGGAATAGCGGTCAGTAGGTTTCCGGTATAGGGTGGTGTTTATGTGACCATCGCTTATTAGCACCGTAGTGTCCAGGAAGTGGATCTCTTGTGGGGACTGGTCCAGGCTGAGGTTGATGGTGGGATGGAAATTGTTGAAATCATGGTGGAATTCCTCAAGGGCTTCTTTTCCTTGGGTCCAGATGATGAAGATGTCATCAATGTAGCAGGGGCATTAGGGGATGAGAGCTGAGGAAGCGTTCTAAGTCAGCCATAAAAATGTTGGCATACTGTGGGGCCATGCGGGTACCCATAGCAGTGCCGCTGATTTGAAGGTATACATTATCTCCAAATGTGAAATAGTTATGGGTGAGGACAAAGTCACAAAGTTCAGCCACCAGGTTTGCCGTGACATTATCGGGGATACTGTTGTTGACAGCTTGTAGTCCATCTTTGTGTGGAATGTTGGTGTAGAGGGCTTCTACATCCATAGTGGTCAGGATGGTGTTTTCAGGAAGATCACCGATGGACTGTAGTTTCCTCAGGAAGTCAGTGGTGTCTCGAAGATAGCTGGGAGTCCCGGTAGCATAGGGCCTGAGGAGGGAGTCTATATAGCCAGACAATCCTGCAGTCAGGGTGCCAATGCCTGAGATGATGGGGCGTCCCGGATTTCCAGTTTTATGGATCTTGGGTAGCAGATGGAGGATAGCCCAGGTCGGGGTTCCAGGGGTGTGTCTGCGCGGATTTGTTACTGTGCTTTTTCAGGGAGTTTCTTGAGCAAATGGTATAGTTTCTTTTGGTAACCCTCAGTGGGATCAGAGGGTAATGGCTTGTAGAAAGTGGTGTTGGAGAGCTGCCTGGCAGCCTCTTTTTCATATTCCAACCTATTCATGATGACGACAGCACCTCCTTTGTCAGTCTTTTTGATTATGATGTCAGAGTTTTTCTGAGGCTGTGGATGGCATTGTGTTCTGTATCCGATGAAGTGAGCTGTAGCTCACGAAAGCTCATGCTCAAATAAATTTGTTAGTCTCTACGGTGCCACAAGTCCTCCTTTTCTTTTTGCGAATACAGACTAACACGGCTGCTACTCTGAAACCTGTCAGTATGTTTTGAGAGTATATTATCAGTCATAAATCCAAACAATGTAAAATCAATGGAAGAATTCAGACTGTTTTTTCTCATGGAATATAGTGCCAAATTACCTCAATCCTCACCTGAAAAAAGATTTTAGGGTCAGGAATTAAAATTTCCATGTGATCTCCTTTCTGGTAACTAAAATAAAATCTTTAATTCAGTCTAATCCCTTTCTATCCCCTGAAGTGGAAGATTTTGTCAACTCCCCTTACGTACGAAAAATTAAACATGTGCTTTGTGACCACGTGGTTTCCCACTCCGTTCCAAACAGTGCATGCAGGCTGTAGGATGTCAACATCTATCCCTTCCTATGGTGTGGTTTTATTTCCTAGGCAACTGAAAATGATCTTCAAAGTCAAGCATAAGCATGACTACTTCATGACTACTTTCTCTTCAAGGACTGTTCAGCCTACGTCCCAGGTCCTCCTCTCCCAGAGAGACACTCTCACTTCCCTTATATCCATAGGAGTCTACAAGCCACCTGCAACAGTGCATCAGCAAAATGATGTTTTGTATCAGGATCACTGCCTGACTGTTAAAGTGACTTAAAAATTAGTCCTCGGTCTTCCAGGATGACTAATTATACAATAGATGAAACATACAATACCAGTGGCTAAATTCTGTCCCTGTTGCTCTCCCCTCCCTGCTTCATGCTCCTCCTTACGGCTGCATAAGGTAGCTGAACTGGTTTGGTAGTATGCGTGGGAACCTGTGCACCCTCCGTATTCCGTGGAGCACTTCCCCATGGGACTGCATCCAAGGCTGCATGGACAGATGTGTTGGAGTCTGGGGTGATTACATGCAACTCCATAAGCAGAAATGCCCTCCCTTAGAGGTGGAGCACAGAAGGTACAGAGCCTGATGTGGTCCTGAGGCATTATTAGCCTCTGTGTCATGCAAGTGCTTTATATAACAATACTTACTGTGCTGCTTTATATTTTCAGAGCATTGTACAAACATGAATCCCCATTTTTCTGATTAGGAAATATAGAGAGAAATTAAGGCCAGTTTGGGGCATCTGATGAGGTTCAACAAGGACAAGTGCAGAGTCCTGCACTTAGGACGGAAGAATCCAATGCACCGCTACAGACTAGGGATCGAATGGCTAGGCAGCAGTTCTGCAGAAAAGGACCTAGGGGTTACAGTGGACGAGAAGCTGGATATGAGTCAACAGTGTGCCCTTGTAGCCAAGAAGGCCAATGGCATTTTGGGATGTATAAGTAGGGGCATTGCCAGCAGATCGAGGGACGTGTCATTCCCCTCTATTCGACGCTGGTGAGGCCTCATCTGGAGTACTGTGTCCAGTTTTGGGCTCCACTCGACGAGAAGGATGTGGAAAAATTGGAAAGAGTCCAGCGGAGGGCAACAAAAATGATTAGGGGACTGGAACACATGAGTTATGAGGAGAGGCTGAGGGAGCTGGGATTGTTTAGCCTGCAGAAGAGAAGAATGAGGGGGGATTTGATAGCTGCTTTCAACTACCTGAAAGGGGGTTCCAAAGAGGATGGATCTAGATTGTTCTCAGTGGTAGCAGATGACAGAACAAGGAGTAATGGTCTTAAGTTGCAGTAGGGGAGGTTTAGGTTGGATATTAGGAAAAACTTTTTCACTAGGAGGGTGGTGAAACACTGGAATGGGTTACCTAGGGAGGTGGTGGAATCTCCTTCCCGAGAAGTTTTTAAGGTCAGGCTTGACAAAGCCCTGGCTGGGATGATTTAATTGGGGATCGGTCTGCTTTGAGCAGGGGGTTGGACTAGATGACCTTCTGGGGTCCCTTCCAACCCTTATATTCTATGATTCTATGATCTGGGAATGGGCTGAAGGAACAGACCTGCATGAGACCCTCAGATAATGCAGAGCAGTCATCAGAAGAAAATTCACAAAGGGAATTTATTACTTATTTGTACAGCATCTAGCCC